GCTTGCCAAAGGTTTTCGTGGATCAACAACGCACGCATTTTAAACTTTCAAATAGAATAGCCATCCATGTTATTCAACAACTTAATTCCATTAAAATGATCACTCATTTTACTAATGCCTCACTTCGTGCTGATAACGAATGTAGTAAAATTAGATGGTATAGAGCTGGAGTGTAGTAAAATATGAAATAAAAGTTTAAATATACGTGTAAACAGGTAAGTATATTGTAATGAAGTACGCCAAAATTTTACATCAAATATTTACAAAGCGCCAATGCCAACTTAAAGTTTAAAATTAAGATTGTAACAACCAGTATTACAACAGCTAAACTATGACGTTTATAACTAATAAGAAATATAGCAATGTATATTTCATATTTATACATAACTATTAATCTATAATTTTATATAAAAAAAAAATTTTACCGATAAGATTATCAACAGTGATGAGTTTACTGTATTTGGGTCAATTTTAGAAAGATTTAGTGACCTACATCCTGACCCAAATTCAGCCCTGTAAGTATCAATGTAGTTTGGTATTTACTCTTCTATATTTGGTGAATATATCTTCTTTAAAGCAGAGTCTACCAGAGCAGGCTCGAGGGAGTAATGCAATGTTTTAAAGATTCTATTATATTTTACTTTACTTATACATTTGAAAGTTAGCTCAAATTTTATGCAACATTTCAATGCGCAATAACATACATTTTATAGTTTATTTAATTAATGACAGTATTATTGATTACGGTCCTCGTATATTCTGAAATTAGCTTAATCCTGTTAAACACTTTATTCCATTTGTTTAAAAAAGACAGAATGGGATTAGCTTTTAAATATGATTTATGAACTTTGGTACAAAGGGAGCATACCAAACACTGTTTTTAATAGATTTCATTTATATCGCGAGCGCCGTAATATACAACAAACGAAGAAGAATAACAAACTCAGCATTCAACGTGCTACTCCGGCAGCATCACAAAATTGGATTTGTGATGAAGAGGGTTTCATTAAAGTGAAAAAGAAGTAGAGAAAGCCAACTCGCCACAATAGGGGTGATGACGGGGTACAGTAAACGAAATTCTATTTAGTCTGTCCGTTAGATGATCAAAAAATAATGGACACGTATTTTTTCTTTGGGCAATCAACCAAAAAATGACAAAGTCATAGCGCGTCAAAGTTTGAGAGTAGGGGCTCATGACGTCAATTTTGAGTGAATTTACACTTATAAGTGTACTCAAACGTGACGTCATGTGACTTTTCAAATCAATATATCTCTGCAATGTTTATATTATGTGAAAAGAGAAAAAATACGTGTCCAATACTTTTTGATAATCTATCTGATAATCGAAGAAAAAAAAAATATTCATCATCCCTATTTGTGTGGTGCCGCCCCGACCGGACCAAATCATCTGCCGTTTCCTGCAATACCGACGATACCGCTGTAAGAGTCCCGACTGCATTACTCTACGAAGGAAGAAGAGATCGTAGAGTACCTGCTAATTAAGACCAAACTCTCCCTGAGAGTCGCACAGTTAGGGTTCCGTCACGATGAGAATTTTCATTTCTTTGTGGTGCGGGTGCCGACCGAACACCTGGCAACTTTCATGGAAGATCTTTGGCCGAAAGGTGTTGTATTCCAGCGGTTCCGAGGCTACTCCGCGTCACAGGTCCCCTTCGATACTCGTTAATTAGATTTCTTACATCGTTATTAATTTTTATTTACTAAAATTTAATGTATTATATATGTCCTATATCTGTATATATATTAGACTGTAAGGTATTTATCTTTGGGCCTACGTTGCCTGGTTATAGACAAATAAATAAATAAAAACTAAATATATCTAGGGGATTAAGAGTTATTAATTAAAAAAATAGATTTTTATTTAACGCCTTTTAGATCTAAGAGTGCGATATATTTTATTAATACAGTAATTTCATAAGTGCCTCTTATGTCGATTCTCCTATGTTACCTTCTGTAAAATTTACTTTATCTATAGAAGCTAGCTCTATACTAAACTCCATTACCTGTTCATGTTCTAATACCCATATATTTGAGCATAACGGACAAAGGGACCCTTATTAGGTCCCTGCTCGAACCCTTTCGCGTCATGAGTCTGTTAAGTCAAAGGGCGGATATTGATGGACATAGCCCTATCAGGCCCATATTTGCCGCACATCACATCCCTATCCTTATTAAGTTTGACAATAGAGCTACTTGGCTGTAGGATTATATACCCAGTTCAATTCTTTCTTCCGTTGGAATTATTATTATTTACTTAGGTCACATAAAGGTCACAACGGCATATCGGACTCTGTACCCTTAGGCACGAACCAATATCGAATTCGAATACTTTGCGAGTCCGAATTGTCATTGTCAAATTTTGTTTGAAACTTGAACAGCAGCGCCATAACGTACGTAGCGAGAATTATAAATTAGTATACATATTTGACAATGACATTTCGTAATCGCAAACGATACGAATTCGATATTGGTTCGTGCTAAGGGTACTGGTTACAAATTTGAAGAATCTGAATCTTTGTATTATACTTTCGCTAACAAGTGCCATTTAAAATTTTGCTTTTGATGTCTATCGTGACTTAAAGAAATAACTTGAACAACAGCACCTTCCAGACTTGTTTACATGCCTCACTTAAAAAAACTTCAAAGGCTGAGATTAAGCTTGATAAATTCACTATAATTCCATTTATTTTTTTAAGAATCAAGTCAAAAGTACCATTGCGATTCTAATAAGAACCGTTTAAATTAGTACAAATTAAATTCAAGTGGAGTTGAATTTTGGCACACAGAAATCCTAGCTACCGAACTTGATTAGAATGTCTTCCATTAATTATGTGAAACACATTAGAATTACGGTCTCAGGGACCCGAACTACGAATATTCTGACACGAAATACGTGTAAACAGAAGACTAACTGTTCAAAATTATTTATTTATACAGCAAATATTACAAATCATAGTTTCATGTATTACTAGGAGGAGCTCAATATCCCGTGGTTGCGGAAGTTAAGCAACTGTTGAAATGATCGGTCATTAGATGGGTGACCAAAAAACTGATTATCTCTAGCTCCTCCGCACTTCAGAAGGCAAATTCAGCCATTGTGCGTTGGTCGCGGCTGCATCTGCAGTTATTAGCGCACTGGGCCCCCGTGTTGGGTCGTGGCCGCGGCCTAGTCTCCCTATTTTATCCAAAAGAAAGGTCTGAGCTCCAGCAGTTCCCCACTGTTCTAGTTCCCCATAGATAGGCAGATGATAATTACTAGCTTTTACCCGCACCTACGCTTACGTTACCTTTGGGTTGAAAAAGTCTAAAACTTGTTTTGTCTTATTTATTTATTACTTTTGATTCTGTAAAGTTTCTAATAAAAAGTATAGGATATCTAATCTTGTTCTTCAAACATTTTTATTGATATATTTACAAAACTTTATTGACCACTTAAATGCAATGCTAAAGCATTGTCTATCTGTCAACCTTAACATTGGATCTCTCTAGGAGGTGAGTTGGATAATATTCTTTACCTGCAAGATGTTATAGCTGATTTGAGGTGTTTTATTCAAGCTGTATATATATACATATTATAGTCAACTTTGGTGCAATAACCACATGAAATACTAGAGTTAATATAATTATTTTACATTCACATGTTTCAAGCTTGGAATTGATGACGGCGCTAAGTTCGTCTTTTAGCCTCGGCGGTCGACGATTCACAAGCCAACTTCCACAATCTTTTATTTTTATAAAAGAGATTGCGTAGAGCAATATTAAATAGGGTATAAATTAATTATACAATATAATCTTTTTAAATCTTTATCGTTGTTTAAATTTACTAGTATTTTTATAAATTTTGTATGTCGAAGAACTTCATAATAATAACTTCTTCTAAATATTAAATAATTTATTTTAAAGCAATAATTCTAAAGGCAGCTTTAACGACGAGATTCAATCCATTCTTATTCGAATAATACTCAACTATTAATTAATTATTTCAAATTATTAACTTTGCCTTACTGATTCAAACTGTCTACTCGACACGATGTCGGATCCGAGACACTTTGAAATAACATGTTAGTACCGTCGTCGTAGGCACCAACTTTATGTAGCAGCTGTGAATAATATGAAGCTCGTAATTTATATTGAAACATTAGCTTTACTAGCATCTTGTTATGCACAAACTTACGTGGAAGTGTTAAGTTGATACTTAATAAAATGCAACTTAACTTTAGCAACTGTTTGAAAACATATTAACTAAATGCGAGAATATTCCGGGAGATAAGTTTATTACTCAACATTATTTTGTAGAATCAGATACTTATGCCGTATAAATATGAAAGAGAGTTTAAGTACAATAATCAATGGGAGTATTGGCTATCGCATTAAGAGTACTCGTTTTTAGTTTCTGTCTTTAAGTAACTAAAATATTACTTAGTAGGCCCACTTGAATATTTCCTTCTAAATCTCAATTTAACTAAAACTCATACAACAATTTTTATAATTCTAATAAAACAAACACTTTATTTTAACTATTTTAATGCATTATTAAATGTTTTAACAATCAAATGGCTTTTCACTAACAACTAATTATAAAATGAAATACACACATTTTATAACGTAACACATCACGCGACAGTTTCACTAAGTCCACTTTCAATACATCGTTTTGGTCCGCTGATTACCACGATTGCAGTATGATTCTATTCGTTCCTAAGACGCCGTTCAACGATAACGCAATGATGAGGATTTGATTAAACTATTGCTCATTAGCAGATAAAAAAAATCACTCACTTTAGTTTATCCTATATCAACGGGACTGAATTACCTCAAAAACTACTTTACATATTACCATATTATACCTTATTCCTGCATTAAAAATTAAGCACTCACTCTTTCAACGACACATTTTGTGATTTTTTCCCCCAATATTCTACAAAGTTTTTAACGACAGGACTAGAACAATGAACAATGTATCCTTATAATTTTGTTAATCAAGGTACATTTACTGGGATAAACATTTGCGGATCGCCCAGTTTAGGCTCAAAATGAATATTTACTTTTGTGTCACCGTCTCCCACTTCCAGAAAACTATTCCAATCGAGCATCCAGTAAAAACCATTTTTTCTTGGAGGTGGCAATTCAGAATCGCCTGGCAGTTCTGGTGCAGCGCCCCCAAAAGAATCTTCTAAATCAGCTATTGAAGCCCCCGTATCAGAAGCAGCAGTATCAACCATCGGAACATCTACAGATGCGGATTTTGAGTCAGGAGTAGTCGATTCACCCTCTGATTTTTCAGTTGTAGTTGTACTGTTAGACATATCAGCTTGTCTTTTATTTTGTTCACTGCTTAAATTTGATTTCATATCTTCAATTGGACTGATACCCTTTTTTAAGGGGATAACTTTTACTGAATCGTAATCAATTGGCTCATAACTAGGCAACGGTACATTAGAGGTAGATTTAGTTTTCCTTACTGGAAGGGGTAGCGGAAGAACTGACTCTTGCTTTTCCGATTGTGAAGTGTCAAGTTCAAATGGGAACTCAGGACGTAATGGTTCATACAAAAAGTTTGTTGGGGGATGTTTAGTTTCAGCTGTTTTGGAATCAATATCAGTCGATAATAAATCGTACGTTAAAAGTATATTTTCAGGCAACTGGACAGTGCCATCTACAACCTTTGCTGGAGGAAGAGGCTTGAAACCATCGAGTGGTAAAAGAAAATTATCTTGACCTGGTTTACCCTTTAGTCCATGAGCCTCAAGGAATGCTTGTAGTTCGGCTGGCAAATTATCTTTTGGTTTTTGAGTTTTCTTAGTATGTCTATTCAAGGTATGCTGAAGTTTTTCAAGTGAGCTGATAAGAGGACTAGGTGTGACCTTTGATACTGGCAAAACTTCAACTCTTGGAGGTCTTGTGTATAATTCTTGCAATGATGAGCCATCACGAGGTGTGTATGGTAAAACTACTAAAACAGATGGTTCACTTTTTTTGGTGACAGTTTCAACTTTATTTGTTAGAGTGGACGCTGAAACACTGTTTTGTTGTCTGTTTTGCAGTATATCATCCCCTACGTCGGGATGCTGTGTGACTGGATTAATTTCATTTTCTTCAATACCAGGCGTTGTAACTTTCACTTCCTTAGATTCAATAGAAGATGACCGACTTTTTGCATCTTCAGCCCTTATATCATTTAATAACTGTATTATTTCATCTCTTGAAAGTCTTGGTAATCCTTCGTTTGCCTTTAGAATGTTTTGAACTTGATTTACAGTTTTTTCTATATCCACGGCATTAGAATCTGTCAGCATCAATGCTGCTACCACGCAGCACCAAAGCAGTTTCGCCATCTGAAAATAAAAATTAAAACGATTATGACTAGTTTGTAGCATTTGAATTAGTTGGCGACGCAAATCAATATGTAATGGTTTTTGTATGTAAGTCCGCTTTTGTAGAAAAAATTAGGTTATTAGCCTAACTACCTTTACAGATTGTGCAAATAAAATGAATCATTTAAACGACATAGCCAGGCTTTTCAAATCATTTTATTACTTAATAACTTTAATATCTTAAGTAGGTTATACGATTTTCAATGGTTTACAAATAAAAAGTAGCATGACGCGGCTTTATTACAAAGTTTTTTCACCAATTTGAGTATAATACAGTATTTTTTTATTTATACAACATTAGGGTACAAGTCAAACGACCTTTACATAATTGTTAAGACTAATAAACTTGATTACCTACTTAACCACTTTCTACTATAGCCAGCAGCGATGCTTTTAAATTCTGATGGCCAGAACGTGTGACACAACAAAGTCTTTCCCATTTTAACTGATTCAAAATGAAATGAAATGTAAACATACAAAATCCAAGTGCAGAATCTGTATAAGGATACAAAAACATTAAGTAACACAAATTGGTAAAGTAATTGATAAATTAATAATTTCATTTAAAATTAAACTGATATGGGATAATCTACAGAATGATTGCCGTCTTGGCAAATATACAATTAATATTTTTTTCTTCACAGTTGGAATAAATATATTGATCGAAAAACATAATTACAATGCCGCAAAAAAATCATTCTATATTTTTTCCGGATTGTTTCACTACTTCAATTCTTTTTTCAGCAATTTCTTATATTTATAACTATAACTCGCGTGCAAACTGTTTTTCTATTTCATTGTTTTCTTATGGAAATTCGAGATCAACCGAACGTTCGAAGATGTGATAAAATATGACGGGATACGATCATTTTTCTCGATGGTACCATTGTCGTTTCTTTTATTTATGTGTCGGCTTACAGATTTTAGTACCTCTCTTTTGTACAAATCGTATGCTTTCAAATATCCTTATGCCTCGGTACATTGATGTTTATTGTAAGGATGAATTGCGTAATACTGTATTGATAAGTTCTTCGTTTATTATTTGCGTAACATACATTATATTAAAAAACCTGTCAAAATATTGTTCCAACTACGTACTAAGAAACAATAAGATAAAGCGAAAACATAAAATGTAAAAATATGGCTAGCATTCGTGTGTTTGGTCTTGCCCAAAAGTTAATAGAATTTGTAAATATACACTCGTACGGATTCCAATATCAATAGATCCTCTATATTTCTTCAGAGCTGAAATCTGAATACACCGGTGATTCTTTATATTCTCGTTGTAAGAATATATTCATGAACGCTACAAAACTTTTTCATATCACTTCCGTGCCACAATCGTGAATAAACTGTGTTTTTATTTTTGGGGCTACAATTCTGAATGAGAACATAAAATAAAACTTTTATTTACATCTTAAGAATTTATGTGTCAGTGAGCCGTTATTATGTAAGTATTTTGCAATACGATTGTGATAAAATAGATGTTTAACAATAACTTTCAAATAATCCTATCTCTAAGTTTTATTTTTATTGATCTGTATTTTGTTTAGATTCCTATAAAAAGAACAACATTGTATAACAGTTGATGTAGAGCATGTAATCCAAATATACTTTCCAACTTGTTATGACAAACTGTATAGTTCAATAAATTGTTCTGTATGATTTTTGTTACTTACATAAAAATACATCTATAGCTTTATCGTGACGGTGGGTAAGGTTGTCACATGAAAGGTAAGTATCTCATTATCATTTTAAAAATAATACGTACTGCATTCGCAGAGTTTTAGGAAATCGCTTGTCGAACCGGAATTCGAATCGAATGAAATATAATCCCGTTTTCCCACCCAGAGTTTAAGACGGTGAAATCTTACGTAATATTGTTTATATAAATAATTACATGGACTATTACGTTGTATTATAAGGAATTAGCACCAATCTGAACGGTATGCATTGATACCGAAATTAACAGACACAACAAATAGATACTAACATACGTACCTATCGCCCAATATTGCCTGATCATAGCTATTTCGCCGTAATTTATCAATAACAATTAATTTATAAATCAAACAGTGTTAATGAATTGGCAACCACTGATAGAGCTAAATTGAAATTTGCTGTACTAATCAAGTAGGGTAACACAAGAGTTCTATGTAATAATTGTCAATAATAATTAGAACTTTCTCAAGAGAACCTGTAGTGACAGTAATACCTTCATAAGCAAAGCCGCTGCTTTATAGCGGCACATATTTAGATAGTAAACAAAAAATTGTACTTGATCTACTTTCGAGAAAAAATTCTAGGAGATGGGCTAAAGATAGGTAATCGAACACTATTAAATATTTCTAGTCAATAATTTAAGCCCAATAAGTTCAGAATATTCATTTCACCGATCCATAAAAAATATATTTTTGTGATTTCTGAGGCAGTTGTTTTTTAATTTTGATGTTATGGATTTTCTTACCGAAATAATTACTAAGCTTTCGTTGTCTGTCCATTTGTTTGACATCATATCTCATAAATAAAGTTCAAGCTACAACTAATTCCAATATTTTTTGTTGTTGTTTTGATATAATAGATCAATGGCCTATAGTGTAATACAAAATAGGTAAGTATCTATTAATTATTAAAATAAGTTTCACTAGTGAGAATTTCAGGAGTTATAAATTCACTTATATACCTTTTCAGACTAAGTAGTCAAACTTAATTAAATGATCGAGCTTGATCCTCAGCGATTAATCAATCATTATTATTATTATAGCAACCTTGAAATATTTTAATGGCAATACAGCTATGTGTAACCTGAATGTTTCAGGATGGCATTTTCCGTCTGTGATCAGGGGAGTAAAGCAACTTTCTCAATGACAGGTCATGGGATGGGTGGGACACCGCAGATCTTAGTCCGGAAAAGGACATACAGGGCCAGTTGGAAATCGAGTGCCGCAACATCATCCGCAAACTCGAAACGCATTAGGTCCTCAGAATGCGAGCCGGGTGACCAGTGCAGGAGTAATATCTGGTTTTTACTGGGTTAGCAGGAGTTCCCTATTCGTGCTAATTCAGGTGGTCCAGGGAGGCGTAACACCTTTTCCAAATATAAAAAAATGGTCATAGGATGGGTGACCAAAAATTTGTTTCCTCGAGTTCCTTTGTGCTTCAGCACACACCAACACGCAGGTGGCCCGAGTGGTGGGTTCTAATGACCGTTCTTTCTAATTCGAAAGGATAGGCCCCCGCAGTGAGGACATTAATAAGCTTGGTGGTGGCAATGGTGTGACGAGATGCAAGTAACCATCTGTAGGAACGCAAATCATCAAAAATGCATCACGAGAAAGACGTAGTTAATTGTATCTATAGCAACATCTTAACAGCTTTAGTGGTGGTTCTTTTCCTTATTTTTTTTAACATCATCCTGATAGATCCCATATTTTATCGTGGGAGAGCCACACAGTAGCTTAGGCTACTGCATGAATGGGCCGGCTCGACCGGAGGAATACCACGACCTCACAGAATACCGGCGTGAAGCAGTACTTTGTGCTGTGTTTAGCCGAGTGAGTGAGGATACCGGAGCCCCCCCCCCCCTTTTCCTCATGATGGCGCAGTTAAATAGGATAATACCCCAGGGGGGTACCAGCTGTTTTCACGCTGGAGAATCCCCCTCTGGACATGCCCAGAAGTGTTTCCTTCTGGACGTGGATGTCGAGGCTGCCCTTCGTATTCTGGGGAGGGCGAAACCGCGCTCAATACTAAAAGTGCTCGAGGCCACAGCAAGCGTCATACGACACCCCCTGCCACGTTTAACGTGGATAACTGCATACGTAACTGCAACATCAGGGGCTTACACTCCAACCTTAATGCTGTTCACTACCACCTTCAGACAGTGCAGCCGGCCTTGCTTTTTTTGACTGAGACGCAGATATCCTCTCCAGCCGACAACTCCTACCTCCAGTACCCTGGGTATACTTTGGAACATTCCTTTGTACCACGGGCTGGGGTATGTGTGTACGTTAAAGAGGGTATCAGTTTCCGTCGCCTCAGCAACTTTGAAGGTAGGGACCTCTCCATCTTATGGTTGCGTGTAGACGTCGATGACCATCCCCGCGTCTACGCCTGCCTCTACAGGTCCCATAGCGGAAATGCCGAAATTGACCGACTCTATGATCACGTCCAGGTGGCTACAGACTCCGTGCTTCAGCAGATCCCATCATCTCAAATTGTGATCCTTGGTGACCGCCCACTACCGATCATGCAGGCAGATCTGCTCATGACTTCGCCTTGGCTTATGGTCTGACACAACTGGTCACCTCGCCTACGCGAATCCCAGATGTCGAAGACCATACACCTTCACTGTTGGACCTTCTGCTGACTTCACATCCGGATAATTACAAGGTGTCCTTAGATGCCCCTCTTGGCTCCTCGGGCCATTGTCTAATCCGGAGTATGGTGCCACTCACTTACTCACCGCGGCCGCAATTTGCTGGCTGTCGTCGTGTGTGGCACTATAAGTCAGCAGACTGGGATGGGATGCGCACTTTCTTTTCATCCTACCCTTGGGGCCAGGTTTGCTTCTCGCAGAATGATCCCAACGTCGCTGCCAATTCTGTCGCGGATGTTGTCCTTCAGGGTATGGAACTTTTTGTTCCTTCCTCTGTGGTTCCCATTGCTGGCAAATCCCAGCCTTGGTTTGGTCACAAATGTAAACTGGCATCTCGCCAAAAACAGATGTGTTATCAGACCAGGGCAAATGCAGCGGCGGTCGGGGATAATAACACTAGCGATCTCAAAAAGAAGTATAACTTGACCTCCAGGTCCTGCAAAAGAGTAATTGCCAGAGCGAAGTCAGAGCACATTAGCAGCAGAGCACATTGGCGAGAGATTAATAAAACTTCCCTCTGGAACCCGCGCGTTTTGGTCTCTTGCCAAGGCTGTTGAAGGAAATTTTTGTAAGCCGTCCCTTCCACCCCTGCACAATGGCGACGAATCGATGGCCCATACTGCAAAAGAGAAAGCGGATCTTTTATGCGCACTCTTTGCGTCTAACTCGACTCTAAATGACAGGGGATACATACCGCCGACCATCCCGCGGTGTGAGAGTTCTATGCCGGAGATCCGGTTCACATAAAGCTTAGTGCGTAAAGCACTCTTTTCCCTAGTCATACACAAGTCGAGTGGGACTGATGGAATCTCACCAATTGTGCTGAAGACTAACCAGACTCCTGAGTTGGTTCCGGTACTAACGCGTCTTTTCCGGCTCTCCTACTCTTTAGATGTCGTTCCGAACTCATGGAAGACAGGTTTAGTGCACCCGATTCCTAAAAAAGGCGACCGCTCACTCCCTACTAATTATAGACCTATAGCCATCACCTCCTTGCTCTCCAAGATAATGGAGTCCATTATAAATTGCCAGCTCCTGCGGTACCTAGAGGACCACCAGCTGATCAGTGACCACCAGTACGGTTTCCGTCAGAGTCGCTCGGCTGGTGATCTACTAGTATACCTGACTCATCGTTGGGCAAAGGCGAGCGAGACCAAGGGGGAAGCATTGGCGGTCGGTCTGGATATCGCGAAGGCCTTCGATCGGGTTTGGCACAAAGCGCTTCTTTCGAAGCTTCCTTCTTATGGGTTTCCTGAAAAGCTGTGCGTTTGGATCACTAGCTTTCTTGCGGACAGGAGCATCAAATTCGCAGTCGACGGTGCATGCTCGGACTCCAAATCCGTAAACGCTGGTGTTCCGCAAAGCTGTGTGCTATCACCTACGCTCTTTCTTCTTCATATCAATGATATGCTTCAAATTGATGGCATTCATTGTTATGCAGACGACAGCACGGTTGATGCCCTATATACCGGCCGCGCCAATATATCACGGGAAAACGTCATCGAGTGCCGGAACAAACTTGTGTCTGAAGTCGAAACTTTGTTAAACCAAGTAACGAATTGGGGTCGACTTAATCTAGTCCAATTTAACCCTACGAAGACACAAGTATGCGCGTTCACCGCAAAAAAAATACCATTTATCGTATCTCCTCTTTTTCAGAACACTCCTCTAACTGCCTCAGCTAGTATTGGAATTCTTGGCATTGATATATCGAGCGACGTCCAGTTCCGGGATCATTTAGAGGGCAAGGCCAAATTGGCCTCGAAGAAGCTTGGTGTGCTCAATAGATCGAGAATGTACATCACACCGGCCCACCGACTGCAACTTTATAAGGCACAGGTTCGGCCTCACATGGAGTACTGCTCTCATCTTTGGGCGGGGGCACCCCAGTACCAGCTTATTCCTTTAGATCGCATCCAGCGCCGAGCGGCTCGAATCGTCGACGACCAGGACCTTTCCGATCAGCTTGATCCTTTGGCTTTGCGTAGGGATGAAGCTTCGCTCTGCATCTTCTATCACATTTATCACGGGGAGTGTTCTGAGGAATTGTTCGGATTAATTCCAGCTGCTGCATTTCGCCATCGTACATCGCGACAAAAATTTCATCCCCATCATCTTGATGCGTGGCTATCCACAGCCATTCGTTTTTGTCGAAATTTTTTACCACGTACGACAAAACTGTGGAATATATTGTCGCCAGCAGTGTTTCCGGACCAACACGACCCAAAAACCTTCAAAAAAAGAGCGTACTCCTTCCTTAAAGGCCGGCATCGCATTTGTGATACTCCTGGTGTTGCAAGTGTTCATGGGCGACGGTAATCACTTACCATCAGGTGAGCCGTCTGCCCCTATAACATAAAAAAAAGTCTGGTCCAATGACAATGAGATGAAGCATTAAGCAACGTTATCGTCAACAGCCTTAAGAAAAGTAGAGCATAGCAGATTTTTAGCTGGAATCGGGAGCCTCCATCTGGGGAAGTGACCTGCACTGCTCCTTACAGTAGCCCACATAATGAAGTAATTAACTTTGGGTGGTGCTGTGTTTTGTCAGTAAGTAAGGTTTTAGAGCTCTAAAGAGTTCAGGGTGAGGTAGGAAATTGACGACCTCCGTGGCCAAGTAGTTTATACGCCGGCTTTCAAGATGTTGCCTACTCGAAAGGTCCCGCGTTCGAATCCTAGTGGGGGCAGATGTATGGGTCATGAATACGAACATTTGTACTCCAGTCATGGATGTTTAATATGTTATGTTATGAAGTATTATATATATGTATCAGTATATGTATTCTATCCGTTACCCTAGTATCCCATAACACAAGCCTATAGTGCTTTCTTTGGGTAACCCCAATGAAAGCACTGTAGGCTTGTGTTATTGG